AAATTGGAAGTCATAAATTATCATTAATACATAATTTTTAAAATATGAAAGACAAATTATTTCGAAAGAAAAAAAAAGGAAAAAAATTACAAAATCTATAAAAAAAATTTCATATCTTGATTCTTAAAGTTTTTTGAATCTCTTCAAAACGCTTCCTATCTTCATCATGTCTACGTAACATTTCTAATAGTTCTGCATCAGATTTCGACCATAATTTATAATCATTAGACTTTTTCAAATTTTTATCATTTTCCTAAATAAAAAAAGATGTAAAAAAGAATAAATGTTCAAAAGTCATTGATTAAGTGAAGAAATAAGTGAAGAATAAATGAGTTAAAATGAAATATAATATTTTATGTGACTAATTCAAAAGGGTATACATGAATCATTCAATTTTGGCTTTTTTTATCCCTTGACAGTTAAATCATTTGATTTCTCTCTCTTTCGCTCTAGGTTTACAATCCTGCTGCACATACTTTTATATCGGTAGCCACGTAACGTCACTTGCTGATGCTCCGAAAGTATGGATCCCAACTGAGTTCATAATTCTGAATTTGTTGATTGAGTAAAATTGATTCAGGAAAATCATAAAACACGATTATTTCTTTTATTTTAATTGGTTTGTAAAATGTAGTCTAATACCTTTGTTTAAAATAAAATATATTCGCTTAAACTTATGCCATTGTTTTTTAAGTCTACCCTTGGTATCAAAAAATCAGGTTGCAATATGGCTTCAAGTGACATTGCATTAAACATGGTTCAGTGTAAGGAAACTGGAAACAGGAAACTTTTGGTCTAAATTTAGTGCTAGTTGGTAATAGTTAGTAAGGCTTACTTGTAATGTTGAGCGAACTGATATTATCTACAGTTTATGAAACAACGTCACTATATCAGTGATGTTCCAACTACACTATCGAGGCTTAAAAGTATTAGTTAGCACGAAACCTATGTATGAAGTTTATTAACTATCATCTCCAGTTACCTAACATCAACATTTTACCTTTAAAATCAATCTTTTGCCCAATGAAATCAAAGTATTTTGATCAATAAAGTCAACCACTATTATCTTAAATTACACAATTAATCCCAAAATGTTATTGGTTTTCTTTTAAACTTATTGTCAATAAAGTTTACTGACCATCAGAGAGTTTGCTATTAGAAACAAATTAGTGACATCTAATCATTGAATACATTATTGTTTATTACATTAAAACTATAATTTCAAATGAACCAAGTAAATGTTTTAAGGATTTTAATCAATGTTGTGTAAAAAATGAAGTAAGTATAAACCATACACTATTAAAAAATAAATTAATATATTCGTAATATCCCATTGAGTAGGAAAATTAGATTTTCTGACGTTTCGTGACTCAGTGTAGGCCACTTCTTCAGAGAATATTCTCTGAAGAAGGAAATTTTTAAATATTTTCTCTAAATTGCTTTTTACACAAAATATTAAATTTTTAAGGAATTACCTGTTTTTGTTTCTTTGCATGAATTCGATGATGATTCGAATAAACTTGAGTAACATGTTTTGCATAATTTAACATCTGCAATTAAATAAAACATAATACAGTTAATGATTGAAAATGTATTATTATTTATGAAGTTTGTATTGTATTAATTCGAATGTATTAACAAATACTGTTGGTTTTTAGTCACTATACTAATAAGTCTTTCAATTGTTCTAGCCTATAACTCCTCAGTAATGTAATCCCAGCCTCCTACATGGTATTAAATCCGAGGTCAATAGGTCCAGAGAGATAAGAAATATCACTTTTCGACAAGTTGAATTTAATGATTTTCATTTTGGATTTCATTCAATTTGCAAATTTTTAACTCGATTATTAATCATTTACTTGTAATATATTCAACTGTATAACAAATATTGTTCTTATATGATAACTTCTTACGAGCAAGAGGTCTAAGCAACCATTTCAGTAATATAACTATTATAAAACAATCGACGGTTTATTCTAGGATTATTCAGCAGTTTGAATGTAATCTCATCCTTAACATTGATAATATTTCTGTTGTCAACAATGGTGCAAACGATTGTCATGAATAAATCACTTCAGTTGACCCTTTCAACTTTTCTGATCCTATCATTCAGCAGTATTTGGATAGATTTGTTAAAAGTTATATTTAAAACAAAATAAGACTATGATCAAAAACGTTTTTTTATTAGTTTCCCTCTAGTTCACTATTAACTTAATTCAGAAGATCATACAGATTTTTTGTAACGCACCAAATCAAAGTATAAAATATTTATTCTGATCACAAGGTTATTATTAATGCATTCACAAACTCAGAAATAGCATTTGTTTTCCGATAGTTTCCAAAAACAGATAACAGAAAAACCCTAATGAAACTTAACCTTTTTTTATCTTTTTGAACCAATTGGAAACTAGTACCAAGATAGTGAATTCAGTAGATAAACTCACGCAATTAGCCTTCAACAGTATACCTCTAATACTGTTGACCTAATCCCAAACTATCAAGAAGACTTAAAAGGCAAATGAAGACTACTACTGTAGTGAACAGAACACTGGTTGGGGACAATCGAATGTATTTAAGCAAAGATTACAGACTATCTCAGTAAATTCTGATAACCAAACAATGAACAATCAATTTGCAAATTAACAACCAATTGTTTCAATCTTCACTGTTTATTCTCTTATTCCATTGCTCATGCATTTTCCAAACGATTGCGCTTCATTTCAGTTCTTTCCTCATCGGTCTTCTGCCAAAATACATTCTATGTCTGACCCATACCATATACTACTTATATGGATATAAGTAGACCAAACCACACTACTACTAAGAGTATATATTTTATGAGAATCTAGCATTCTTTATGCCCAGAATTTCCTTCCAATTAATAACACCTACATTTTAGTAAAAGTGACCTAAAATTGAATTTTTATGACATACCTATCAAGATAACTAAAGAATTTCATAACAATAATGATCAATATATAACAAGATATTGTACTAAAATAATGAAAGTCTCAATTTACCAGAAATCAATTAACTATGAAAAGTAAATAATTATCATACAGAATCAATGGATTATTGTACTAATAATTGCTTATTTTATCATAACGAAAACATATTTTATTGTGTTTAATTGTTTGAATAAACATAAGTCTATTTTAACCTAATCACAAATAATAATATTTACATAATAAGATTAATTTATTGTATTTTGTTAGTTTATGTTACATCCCAAGAAGAATTACGAATGGTAACTGTCGGAATCTATTTCTGGGCTAATACCATGTATATTTTTTATTGTATAAATATTAAGTAACAAAACTATTCGCATGCATGTTCCTCTCATTATAAGCTTTATTTTGACCCATAAAGTATTATTATACGATTCACCGTTCTTGAGTTATGTCCAGTCTATCAATTACATTTTTTCATATTCACAGCCACATTTTACTAAATCTTGTACAAATGTTATTTCTTATTTTATGGTACGATATGGTCCGTCTGGTTGGTTTATAAGCCCACTATGTTTGAAATGAATAATTCATATCGCAGAAGCTGGTATTGGTGTTCTGGACTTAACAAGCACGGCTAGGCGAGAAGCAAGGACCGATAAGAACTCTAGACTGCTCGTACGGGTTTTGTGCGTCAGTGGTCCAATCGATAACTCACTGTACTCTTATTGGCGGCATCGTCACGTCATATATTGATTGGGACACAAACCCTCAAGATATAACACTTTACTACTTTTCAGTGGCATATAATTGGTAAATTAAGACATTAAGTGACTATCAGGAAAGTGAAAATTGTTTGAAAAATAGATAAAAATATTTTAGAGGAATAACCTTTTTTATTAAGTAGTTCAGGGAATATGGAATTTCATAAGCAAAGATAGATAGCGGCTAGCCGTGGAATCCAGGATGTGCGTTTCGTCTTATTTGGGAATCGTCAGCTGGATGTACCTGCATCTTTGAGTTGACGTTTACTCCAGGACTCTAGCCCAGTACCATTCACTTCAAACGCCATCTCGTTATCCACTTAGCTACTGAATCTATCTTTGCTTATAATGCTTGTGAATTAAGGCTATATCAAGGCAATACGCACAGTATGCACATATGCCTATAAGAGACTGGTCAATTACAGTCCTAAACATCGATGGGAAGATTCAGATAAACAATACCAAATGAATATGGAATTTTGTTTGTTGATTTTCAACTATATTTTTCAACTGCAATATTAGTTTCTTCTTAATTAATTATATCATATATATTTTAATATTATTCGAATGAACTGTTAGCTCCCTGCTTAAATATCTGAGCTATATATTTTTCCAACGATCTGAATATTTCAATAAGAATAATGAGATTATTATTAATAACACTAATAAATTGTTTATTATTTTCATAAGATAATGACTGAACATTTATTATACGTGAAGCAAGTATATAAAATAAAAACAGATTAGACGATTATTATTATTATTATTATTATTATGAATCGAAGACCTACAGCTAAACGTTTTTCTGTTGCTTTTTGCTTATCCATTTCCTCTTTTGATATTTCTGGTGGATTTCTTGCAGACACAGTTTTGAATTCAAGATTTGAACTATTTTTGGAAGTTTGATGATTTGAGAAAGCTATTTGGTGCGGTGAGCGAAGAAAACTATTCTGTTTATCTTTCGACTTATCATCACTTGAATTTTCAGATTTGTTTTGTGTAGCTTGGGCTAGATTTGAATTCGAACATTTGTCAGCACTTGGTTCAAACTTTTCTTCATTTTCTTTATTACTGTAATTTTTGTCACCAGTTGAGGAATTCGAAGTGTCATTATGAGAATCAGTATGATTAATAATATTGTTTTCTGAGTGTAAACTTTTAGCATTAGATTTTTCTTTACACTTTCTTATATGCTCTGCATAAACATTTTGTCGAAGTTTTCGAGCAAGCTTAATAAAAATAAAAGTATTGTTACAGCTGTTTATGAACTAAATATAATCGTGAGATAGTCAGTTTAAAAGAGTGTTTACCTTTGCAACTAAAGTGTAATAATTATAAAACTGGACACAAGGGTTTACTGCTGACTATTTTCAACCAACTAATATAAAAAATTGTAAACTCAACAATGATTCACTCAGATTATCGGCAATATTGGAATTCAATCGATAGAATTCGGCTACCTCTAAATACCAGATAAAAATGTCATTGTCTATTGTGCAGTCCATAATCAACAAGGCATTAGTGTGGTATTTTAATATGAAATTGTCATGTGGTAGACATCAACAAAATTGTTTATGTTGCTGAAGTTTGGAACAAATGTCAACATAATATTCTCATATGAGTACAAAATAAACGGAGTTAGGATAAAACGACAGTTGAGAAGGAAACACATCATTCGAAACATGCACACACATGTCTATTTTTGAAATACGGTAAATCTATCTGTTACCATCAAGTTCATTACCAACACAACACAGATAACTAAATAATTACAAGTCTAAGATTATTGAATATTATATTCAAACACATAGTACAAAACAATTACTTGCAAGATAAATGTACACAAATATAAAAGGCCATGAATCATACGTTGATTTTCAGTAGTATCCCGAGTTCGATTTGCAACGAATATCACCTACACATAAAGACAATCTCCAAAAAATTCTTCCAGGAAATATGACTTGGAAACTTAAGGATTTAAAAAGTTCGTATTAAAGCTAATGAATATTGAGTACTTTCTATAGATAACTTGATGTGGTTAAAATGTCATGCCTTTAAACTATTTGCCTAATAACGTGTATCAAACCATCCACAGAAAGTAGTACTAGGGGTGAGTAATACTGATTGAAAACCCTAAAAATTGCTAAACTTCAAATTTTTCCGTATAAGACAGTCACTTTTTTCAAAGTGAATTATTAGAAAAAACTAGGAGTGTAACTTATAATGGAGACAAACAATTAATATGCTTTGATCTTTTGTACCTTGAACGAGTACTAAATAAATTAGAGATACTGATGTAATGATAAATAACAGAAAATTCATTCCCTTCGTCATACTTCTCCGATTGCCACTATTTATTTTCAACACAGTAACAAAAACGTTTTTCACCAGCTTTTCAACTAATGATTAGTTTGGTAAATTCTATAAGTAAATTGCCAATCACTTACCTTCTGACGATACTCTTCATTATCTATATCAGGACCTAATCCTCGCGATTTTGAGTTGATCGATGGCAATAAACTATAGTCTTTATATGTATATCGTTGCTGTGATAGTATTAAAGGCTTCCGCTGACTAGAGTTTCCTGAACTAAGTGATTTACCGTTACTGTTATTGAAACATGGCTGTGTGGTTTTGTGAGTATTTATTTTTGGTGAACATAAGGTGTGCAAACGTGTTTTGGTTTCCAGTTCCATAGGAGCTGATGAATAATACTTGTGACAAAATTGCTTATGAGCTTTAGCCAGTTCAGCCTGTTGCAATATACCCATTCGAAATACACCAGATGCTGAAGTCTGAAATGAGTGAATATCCAATATGGGACATAAGATAAAGTGGAGACTTGAGGCAAATGAATATGTTGTTAAGCAGGAAGATTAAACTTGTGTTTAAAACGTTTTTGAGATAGACAAGAAATCAAGCAACAATTATTTAGAAATATCAGTGTGCATATATATATATAACAAAGTATCATTGTTTGAACGTTTAGAAGACGCAAAGTCTGATAATCTATCGTTACCTTCTAAACGGTTACTTTGAGTCTTTTCAAAATATAACAAAAATATTGAAATTCAAAAAAGACAACAACTGCCAAATCTGCCTCACAAACATATGACCCAGATGTCACTCTTTAATTATAAGTTATGGTAAAGTTGAAGTGTGTCTAGCGGTGGAACCCAAGACGTACAATCCATAACACCAACAATGGAAAATTTAAACACGGACAAATAAATACATACCCACTTAACAAGCCTGTCGATATTTAGTCTCACGAGTTCGGTACATGATGTGTTGGCACCTGAAGCGACTGGTAATGAGTTCGAGTCTCACAGTAGACATTAATATTGAGAGTTATATACATATAGATGACGAGTCATAGGCAAGAAAACTACACGTACCAGATCCCATTAGTACCCACAACTAATTTTTAATAAAACATTTAAACTTAAGTTTTTTTTCATTTTAAGAAAAAAGTGAAAGTTAAATACATCACAATATGGAAAAGAATTGTTTATAGTCTACAAGCCAATATACTGTGGAATGACGATGAATAGTTATGGACGATATTATTAATATTTTAAGTTAAAATGACTTAAGTATACTCATTGATATTTTAATTCATATTCAATAAATTAATGAGTATACGTCAAAGTAACCGATAGTCTGTTCACATTTCCTACATAACTATATGAATAAAAGAATTTCCTGTAGAATTGAATTACAAAAAATCACAAAACATAGGAACACTACTGGATATCCAGCGCCGATTTTTGAATTTATGATAGTTATTAATAAACTATGATATTCCAACTATTCTGGCAATTACTGAGTACTTTGAGTTTATCATACTAAAAAACAGCTGACACAAAGAAATTATGCAAAGCATTCTCTTTCCTGCAAACTTACTGGATAGGAATTGTAACTGATCTCTTTTCTACTACTTTCTATTTGAGTATTGCCATTTAAACTGTGACCATTTAATTGTTCAAATGAACTGTACGTTGGACGGATTTCCCAGTAAGATTCAAAAGGTTGATTTACTGTGTTATTTTCTCTGACAGGACTGTGTTTTGAATTGCGTAATGTGTATAAATTATTTGAATATGCAGAGCAAGCTGGCTGGATAAAAATTGTTAACAAAAGTTCAATAAATAAATGTAAAACTGACCTCTAATAATTGAAATCATCATCATTTCAATACAAATGAAAAATATTAATAATATATATTGAGACATAAGAAACGTAGTTTGATATTGGTAAACGAAATGCAAAACCAAAAAAATATCGTATAGTAGCTGAAGAAAATCATAATTTCTATAACAACAGGTAATAAAACTAATTCAATTCAAAATATATTCCTTGCCTGATCATGTAACATTAAACTGAATTTTGACAAAAAGCAAGAAAAAAGATTCTAGTGGAATAGCATGGACTGATTTTATTTCGGTTGGGTCTCGCCAGCTACTTACAACGTGTGATATTTAAAATTATAATTACATAATAGGTTTAAATTACTTACATGAAAGAGTTTATTTGGAAGTCATATTGAACACACATTAGTATAGTATAGCAAGGGTTTAAACAAATTTAATAGACCGAATATTGTAAATATATATACCTCATGTAAAAGAAAACTCTACAACATTGATTGTGACAACAGTTCAAATGGCCAGAAACAAGTGATTACATAATGAGTAAACGCTGATAAGAATAAAATGAGTAGAGCTCAGTTAATAAAATAAGATTATTAATGTGGAAGATAGTTGAAATAAAACTCAATGATGTAATAAATGCAAGAAAGGAATATTTGTAACCAAATCAAGGAAAGAATAATAACCATCTCCTTTTGAACACATAGATCAGATCTCCGATGCCTGACAGCAACAGCTTCAGAAAACTTCAGAGTTTGGCTGTTTGTTAATCAGCTTGAAAAATTTGCAAGGTATCAACCTGATGTCATTTATCCAAGAGATGTTTGCTAATGGCACTGTTTAAAGTCATTATTTTTCTTATTCTAAGGCTTTCTGGAACATGCTCAAAAAATTTAAGACATGCTCTCTTTTCTGTTCCGTCAATGAAGCTATTTTGGCAAGTACACATAAATTTATAAACACAGTTGGCGGTAACATTAAAGGGGTTCTTATTGATCTTTGATTGGGTTATTGAACACATTGTTTTATACAGAATTAATAGTTTGGCTGTCGCGTAAGTTCTGACTATTGCATTGTTAGACCTCTTGCTGACTGTCCTTATGTCATCACCTTTGAAGTTCAGATTTATAGATATTGGTTTTTTACTGAGTGTAGTCACTTTCGTCTTGTTTTCTTTAGTTTTTTTTTATTTGTCAGTAAATTTCTGTGGGTCGCAGTTGTCTTATAGGCATTTTTTAAAAGTTTATCCATTCTTCTTCCAGTTCTAAATTCATAATTAAGATGAAGAAATAAAGGTTGTCAATCAGTTATTTGATTTTGATTTTCATAGTTGAAATCATAAGACAGTTGAAGCTAGACCATCATGGAAAACCTGAAAGCACTGGACGGCCGTTTCGTCTTGTTATGGGACTTCTCAGCAGTGCGCATCCACGATACCGCATCGCGAGATTCGAACCCAGGTTCTACCAGTCTCGCGCCAGAGCACTTAACTCATTTTTGATTTATCAGTCATGAAGTCTGAACAAAACAATTCAACTAATAGTAGTTCTTTGGAAAAAGAAGACATGTTTTATGAGATCTTAAACATTTCCTTAAGAAGATAAAATACAAATATACACACAATTTATATGAATAGAAATAACAAATAATGACTTACAAATAATGGTTGATTTATTTTCGGTGTTATTTGTGTATAACATGTAGGTGATGATAATATTGGTGATGTTGCTAATTGTGACATATTATTAAAATTACATTGTGATTCATTTACATAATTTTCTTTATTATTTATTAATTGTCTATTAGAGCATAAAATAGGATCTGATTGAAAACATTCTCTATGACGTTTAGTAATTTTCATGTTTGGACTAAGTAGAAATTGACTATTTGTTAAACATTTTGTTGATCTATGATATTAAAATATAAAAAGGATTAGGTTAAGCTATTTATTAAGGTTTCATTGTAATCAACCTTTTAAAACGTTTTTATTTGTCTATCAATTTCCCTTTTTTTAACATTCTTTTTATGGTAAGCTTACTCAGAGTTATGTTTTGATAAGTTACTTGCAAAATAATCTTTGTATTAGAAAATCCAAACCCTGTATGGTAAACTTTCGAACGAAATATGTCCATTCATTATTACTAAATCAAATTATTCAGTAATATATAATTATATAAAAAATTTAACAATTCATCCAACATCCAGAAAGTAGGTTATGTCTAGCATCTATTGTATAATGTTGATCAGTCTGGATAAGAAGGCAAGTTCACGTTTTTTCTTACTCGATATAAAATTAGCTTTGTTTCTAATGTGACACTTTGACATTGATCTTATTCTCAGTGTAACGTCTTAGTCAGTACAATACTGGTTTTATATTTTCCAATACAGCATTATTTCAAATCAATTTGTTTGTACCAGTTAAGTGTAAATTTTATTCGGTATTAAAGGTGTGGACTTTTGCACAGAGTAACAATTATATTTTTTTGTGTTATTTTGTGTGAATATCGCATGTTTTCCCCAGTAATAATCTGTATCTTTCCATATATATTATGTTTCTTAACTAATATTCAAATATGTGAAAAATCAGTATATAAATGTATTTAGCTTAATGATGACGCTTATAGACGACTTGTTTTGGAAAGTCAATAAATTGTTATTAAACCAGCCATTGTGTTTTCATTTAGCGACAGGAGAATTGCGGTTGTTCCTCTTTTCCAGGTAACAATAGAACGACAGCTAATACAATAGAGAGGGCACGTACGTAACAGAAGGTACCTGAATATGACAGATGTTAGCACCACCAGACTGTTTACACCACACTATATAATCTTTAACTGAAGTTGAATGATTTATTTACTAGAATGAAGATAATAATACTAAACTCTCATCCCAATAATTAATAATAATAACATTTTTCACCATATCAGTCTTCATATACTATTGCACAATTTCCAAAATAATTAACCAATATTTTTATATCTCCACAAAGCACAACAATGTTGAAATATCATAAAATCTCATCAATATTAATGGCTATTGCGTTCATATCCACGATATATATAAGTGCCAATTGTAGGATTCGGCGTTTAAGTCATAACTGACGAAGTTGAATTTGATAACCTTGAATATATATTGAGTAATTAAAATATTGTTTATTTAATTAAGCACAAGTAGCCTCAGGGTTTTTCATTTCCTCATACACATTTCTATTAGAATATACAAGTTTGGGAGATAAGCAAATAATGTTTGTAATATTATCAGCTTACAAAGATTCACTATAGTCTTATGAAAAGTTTGTTAAAATACACATTATTGGAAAGTTGAAAAAAATCGAAATAATTAAATTACTAATAGATACTCATTAATAAAACAGTCATCTAAGTCTTCACTAGTAAAAAGCTTAGCATTCAAACGATTTACATGAATTTTTCAGTAAATAACTTTTAGTATGTCTAGGAAATCTGAACTTGAATGTCACAAAGTCAAATGTTGAAAATGTGTTATATATTAGATTCACTGTTCGAAATACACATCCATTTATTAGACGATTAGAGGAAGTTGTTAGAGAGCTTTCCATCGAGGTTTCGTGGTAGTCGATACCTCCCATCAAAGTATATCATAAAATCTGAAGAAAATGATGCTCCTCATGAGACTGGACATTATACGACCCAATGTCACGGTCAAAGACCTCATCACTGAATCATTCAAACCACGAAAAACTCATTTAGGTTAAAGATGTTTACAGTGCCTGACTAAAATGTAAACCAGCATTACGCTGTCCAGTCTTTCATCGCGACTGGAATCTATCGACCAAGGTGCATTAAGTTCAATAAAGAATTGGCTCTGACCTAAGTAACGGAAAACCTGGCGATGGTTACTATTAAAATAGAAGCATTTCAATTCTTCATGGTACCATCAAAAACCAATGAGACTTAAATGTACGCATCACTACTATAGTAAACAATAGAGATCATTGATCTCTTATTCTGACATTTTTAGCTATACAAGCAGTGCAGATATTCATTAACATTCATTATTTCTTCACAATAACAAAACATTTTAATATATAAAATCATCCTACCCAGAATAATATTGTGATTTCACCTTATGAAGTTGACCGTACGTTACGGAACAACTTTTAACACCTCCTTGATGAATATTCATTTTGTTTGAAGTAATGAAATCCAGTTTGGTGTTTGGCTTATTTTTAAGAACTAGTTCATGGCCAATAATATCTAAATGTACGTTTACGAAACACAAAACAAAATTACTTCACTATATATGAGAGAAGCATGTTTTAAGCATATAAACTGAAAAGTCAGGTTTTCATAAATATACTTAAGATGTGAATTAGAGTGTATAAAACTATAGATATATTATGGATTGAAATAATAATCTCCGTTGGTTGTTTCAGCATCTTCATATTTTAATGATATTGTCTTGTTTGTTAAGAACCATGTCGAAATCTTGAGTAGCATTACAGGAGTATTTAATTAGTGATTTTTTCCTCTCCAAATGTAAACTGTTGTTTTATGGTCGATATGGGTCAATAAACATTCTGACTATGAGGATTAGGGCAATTGAAAGTGTCCATCAATTCGCTTGCTTAGATTTCAGTAACCATTGTTGAGTGGGTGGTTGATAAAACCTCCGCACGTAGAGAGAGTGTAGCATGAATTTGTTTTGGCTGAACCAATTGTGGCAAAAATAACATATATCATTTTGTTTCTAAGAAGGAATGTATATTATGTACCAGTAGGGTTTATGTTACTTTAAAGGCACATAGCATGTGTAGTTAGTTGCAAAGAATCACAGGTATCTCCAATATATTGTTTACGTGGGTTAGAATCAAAAGAATGACTAATCACAGAGTTAGAGTACTGGGTGAAGTTGGTATGACAATCGGTCAGGATAGTTGGGAAGAATAATGGATTCTAAATAACTACGGCCTACTAGAAAAAGATATATATTCATCAAAATAAATTTAACTGAACAGAAGCTGTAACACGAAAAGCCAAAACAGAGAAAGTTCTCCTTTTAACTTCTGTATGATAATGAAACGTCCTCATAATCAAAAATGACTACATTTTCACAGTCCAAAATTTACTTAAACCTTTTACTTTTCAGAGTTAAAAGTAGCTCACTTTAGAATGATCTCGTCCTTTTAAGAATTAATAATAAACTATAGCTTCATAGAACTGAATTTCACGTTGTTGTAATGCACTAAACATCAATCTCACTGAAAATTATTCCTACATCACTTTTTTATACAATAAATAGGAAAAAATTATATTATTGTACCGATTTTGTTAAGGCTTTCAGTACTTTAAAGTGTTGCAGATGAAAACTTGATGCCGAATCGGAATAGGGATTTAAAAATATGATCTTCAAGGGTTACTTCATTTCTATCTTACGCTTTCACTAACTGAACCAGATGTCCTTTACGATACCATTTTATTAACTCTTCTCTGCTTATTTAACGTTGGTCCGTCGTCATTCATCGGAAACTTCCACTAACTTCTTTAATATCCATTGACCACTGTCGACTGTGATCTCGCAATCCAATCATGTAAAATATTGTTGATCTTACTACTGAATTCAACCGGTTGACATGCACCATACACTGTTAACTTGATGCTGTAATAAAACCTGTCGATTTTGTGTGATACAAACACTTATCTCCTGCTTCACTGAATAAATAATTTGGAGTATCCCACGATGTCGCAACCAAAGTACTGAAGATATGTTTTCCTTATTAACAATTCATATTGGTTAACGAGAAAAACTACTCACTCTGATGCCGGTGCAGTATATTTTAACCTTCACAAAGTGACGTCTTTACACAGATATATCATTGGTTCCTAAACTTTACAAGCCATTCTCACCTTGGTTAGATAATTATTGAAGTCGTAGAGGAAATGAACAGCTATTTCATTCTAATACGAAAATCTAGAGCATTCTACTTTCCATGGTCTCACTTGGGATCGAATCCAGAAACCTTCGAACTTGTTGCTAATATTTAACTTTCAAATCAATGAGTTGCTATTCAATGGTGCACATTTCTAATTTCAGTCAATTTCTAGTCGATTACTATCCATTGTCGCATGGTAGCTGTGTCATGCCCGACACAAATGAACTCCAGTGGTCACTAGTTTTCACTCGAATTCCAAGAATCACTTCTCAGTTTTAGTTAGTAGTAAAATCAAAACCTTCTGTATAGGAAATTAAAATGATGCTGAAGTAGATTGGCACTGCCTAGGAGGCCTGTACTAAAATGAAACATCTATTCAATCCATCTTAGATTTCAATGGTTATCTGACTGAAGTTATTCGTTAAAACAAATTTAAAAACATTCGGTAATCTCTATACCAAAAAACAATGTTAATTGATAAAAGCTTATTTTTTTAACTAGAAAATGTTACTATGCATAAAACTCTGGAGTTCAAAACATCTAACAGAATAAAACCTTACAACCTTTAGAGAGATAAATCAATGAGATTTCCCGTTCTTCGACGAAACTCAGCTCAAGAGCTTTTAAAATCAAAATATGCACAATCTCATCGACATATATTGTTACTTTGGGTGATTTTATGTAAACTTTGAATAACTTGAAGATAACTTATGAAAGAAATGAATTCAGTTTAGTAGAAAAGAACTCGTTTAATATTAATAAAAACCTAGACTTGTAACATGGCACTGACAACTATATTTTTTGTATTATACTTGGTTATATATATATATATATATATATATATATATATATAGGGCGACTGAGAGATTTACCTTCACCAAGAATGATTGGTTCCCCATACTGATAGTTATTTTTTGATCCACACACAGTCCCCTTGGTAGATCTATTGGGATTTACTTTATCCAACTGTAATTTCTTTAACTTTTGACTACACTGATTCCAATGAGTTGGAATAATTTCATCTTGTGACTGTTCAGGAGAACTTTCGGATGAATTCTAGAAGAAGGTTATCGATAAATAATCAGTAGTTCGGAGTTCAGGTTCAACTGGAAATTATCAATATTGTTATGACACATAACATTATTACCCAGTGCTCAGTTTGTTTTTATCACCTTAAGACAGTAACTGCCCCCAAAGTTTTTAAACGAAATTGACTGTTTATTAGTCTGACCCTTGGTAATTTAGTTGAGTTCATTTTAATTAACTGATAATCAGAGTTTGTTCAAATGTGTTTATTCGTAGATTGACCTGAGCGCCAGAATAGTAGAGTCTCTAACAATATACTTTATCTTTCACTTCCAAATACATCTTATCTGATTGCTCTAATTACTCTTATTTCCTTTTATATTAAATACAACTTATTGTTACATTATGAAGACATAAACTGTACATCACCATATAATGTTTGTTTTTAAACAACATTTATGTAATCCTTTGTTCAGGTTGCATGCGCCTGATGAGAAACTCTAATAAATGAAAAACGAATTCATTTTATTATTGACAATTACTATTCTACACGCAACAATTAAAGTGATGAAAGGAAACAAATGAGTATCATATTGTTTTTCCTTAACATGATTTGTCTTATTTTACTAAGATAATACCTGTAACTTGGCGTTCTTAATTCTGAGAATTAAACTAGTTCAAGGTCAAGCATTTTGTTTCAATTATGCGCTTCCAGTGTTCAAATATCAATGTTACACACCCATTTTATGAGTTAGAATAAATAATTAGCTAACAAAACTAAAATTTCATTTTAATCCTAATTACTGAATATTGGGGTAGTTGTAGTGTTTGCTTAAATCTATTCAAACTGATCTTTGATATATTACTGGAGAAATTTCCAGCTAACTGCTCGATTGAAAACACAATGAAGTAAATGACCCGAAAAGAATTCAGTAATCCATCTTTTAAATATTTAAAACAGAATGACTAAACTATTGAAGATTGTAAAATGAAATACATTATTGAGAGAGATGTATTTGAAAGAGAAAGAGCTTAACAAAGTAATCTCATAAGACCATGTTCAACATGAAAAAAAGATGAATTAAAATAAATTGTTGAACTGAAAACAATGAAAATTATTTTATAGGTGTCATTACCAAGTTTTGATTTGATAGTTTTGAATAAATTGAGCATTGGGTAGATTGTTATAAATACATAATATATTTGTAATATCCCAATGAGTAGACAAATTGGATTTTCTGACGTTTCGTGACTCAATGTGAGCCACTTCTTCAGAGAACAAATAACCAAATAAACATTAATCCAAGTTTAATGTTTATTTGGTTATTTGTTCACTGTGACTTTCAAACTTTTATATACATACGAATAATTAGTAAAATTCTCAAGATATTCATTTGTTAAACTTTTCCATTAGACTAATTATGAAACACTTTTACTTAAGTTAAGACGAGGTTACTTTAAAATGTTCTCCACTATCATTGTACATTTTTTGAACACATTGTAAACAATGATAATAAGTCGCAAATCCTTCAAAAATTTGGAAAGTTGTATGTTGAAAGTAAAATTTACCGGTGACTTAATGAACATTAGATCAAGATACATTGTCAAACTTTTCCAGAACCTCAAACTTGAAATTCATAGGTCCCATATTTATTTTGAAATTTGTTCGTTAGAAATTCACTAGCCATGCTACAGATTTTATTTCATTGTAAATTTGAAAAGCAAAGAGTCACTTTTTTGAGTTTTACCATTTGAGTAATGATCATATTTGAATGCTAATAAAATCAGCAGTCAGAAGAAAACTATAGGCACAGTCGGGTAAGAAAATTAGATCCTTAGGTAACTTTTACTGTGTATAAAACCCAGCCTATCGCTAAGACTTATTTCACATAGGTTGATTTATAAAAACTATCATACATACCTGTATGTTGAAAATCCATCGTAAAAATCATAAATATTGTAAATAAAATGACTGTTACTTAATACTTACGGATGTCATACTTTCAGCTCTTAAGTCAATATTAAATGCTTTTTTACATGATTCAGTGGCTTCAATAATACTGCTTTCTTCAGACAGCAAATTTAATGGTGGAACTGACTCATATGTTAAAGGTTCTTCAAATTTTTCAGAATGATGAGAAACTGATGGATTTAAATCAGATGATTTACATCCTTTTATCGGTGCATCAACTGTTTTGTTTTCAACATGATTGTAGTAAATTAAATTATCATCATTGAGATCATGATTATTGTTGATGATTTCATTATTCATTCGGTAATTGACATTTTCGTTCCTTTTTTCCTCTTTATATCTATTCTCAGGATCACTTTTATTCTCAATTAAGCTATCTTCATCGAAGGATTCTAAATCACTCATTCAGAAACTTCTGAAACTATCACAAAATTAATGGACATTAAAACAATAAATATCCTCTCGATAGAACTTAAATAATTTTTAAAGAGAAATGACGATCTAAAGTGCTATAAAGTGCACAAATAGTATGTTGTTTGTTACTTGGTGAATGGCAAACAACAAATAAGTTAAATTGTAGTTATGTTCCAGAAAATAGGACATGAAACGTCTATTATTTGTATTTCTTTATCGACAGCGAGTAAACCTATTTCATACCAAACTTATTATGTAGCAGCGTCACAAATAAAGGCCATTCAAACGTTGTTTATTTTACATTGCATAAACATTGGTAGGTTTATGAGTTTACGCTTTTTATCAAAATGTTTAATGCTAGCTTTTGTAAAATGAGGATGGTAGAGATAAAGCATGATCACACTTAGATCAGCCGTTAATTTACAGAACCACGGAACTTCTATTTAGCCACTAATTAAGATATCTATAAATGCTATAGCTAAACGTCAAACAACTTATTATCCGCATACTTCATACATAGGTGTAATGTTGCAACCTACTCTCCTACTATTTCTTTCTAACAAGATCCCGTTGCTGTGTTCTTGAAAGACAATGAGCTTACATACAAGACTTATGACTCAGATATCTAAGTGAAAAACCAGAAACTCGTCAACAGCCTTCACTCGCCTACTTAGAATTCACTGTATAGTCCAAACACTGGCTACTCAATAGTTTAATCGAAAACAAATAGTGTCGTGAATTAACAACCTAAATAACAAGGTTAAACAGGAATTATAATGCAGGTGCTTCAAGTTAATAAACTTGTAGAAAGCTCAAAAGTCTCACAGATTTATTGCAGTTTACACTCAAAATTTTCAAATCAAAGAGTAGTAGAGTGAGTTACAAACATTTTCGAATACACTGTTTTTTGTTGCATTTTTATCTCCAAACAGAGGCTAAGTCTAACAATAATATTAGAGAAACTGATCTCTGTGTGCCAAATGACATCACAAGTTTGTCAAAATCTCGTCAAGAACCAAACAGCAATACAAACAAGGATGGCTAGCAGTGGAATTCAGGATATGCGTTTCGTCCTATTTAGGACTGATCAGCAGAATGTACCTGCATCTCAGAGCTGGTGTTCACTCCGGGACTCAAATTCAGTACCGTTCAATTCATACACCATCGCGTTATCCATTTAGCTACTGAGTGCTGATACCCACTTATGCACATATGCTAGTAAGACCGATCAATTACAGTCCTAAAAATCCGTGAGAAGATTCTAGCAAACAATATTAAGTGAATTCAAATAAAAATACGTTTTAGAAGGTGATACAAACCTTTTTATCAACTGTTACATAGAACATTTAGTGAAAAATATACTCAGTTCTCGATATTCATTTCAAAGTATCTGTCAGAGGCGGTTAGGCTAGTGAGAAGACTTGAAAAAGGATTATTCATTCTATTCTGTAGGCTTTTTCGTACTGATTTACTTCAAACTTACCAGGATGATACGTCATATAAAACTTAGCTTAAGACAAATCAAACTAAACTAACAGTATTACCATGTTTTCAACATCGTAACTAGCGTACGAAAATACTTTTTCGCCAAAGCAGGCTAAAGTATTTCAATCGACCACTTATTTTTCTATCCATTTTTACAAATAAACATATTCTCTGCAAACGTTTTATTTAATGATCAAGCACTTCTTGCAATTGACTGCTCTTATCTTGGGTGACACTAGAAATACATCAAAACTCCGGATTATTCAAAGCTTATTTTTCTTATAATTGGTACAGATATAGTTCTGCATTACTTTTAGAAAGTCATTGAGCGTGATATACATACAAATATTACCTACCTGTCATCTATATATAATAATTTTTTTATAGACACTTTAACAAAGCAAACATCAATTTTATTACGTAGAGCACAAAATCTAACCAATATTCTATGAGCTTCGAAACTTAATTCATTAGAAGTATTATTACATATGTATGAATGTAAGAAAAACTAAACAAATATTCAAAGGATGGTTCTTATGCTTGTAAAAGCAACATACTGAAAATTAACATTCAGGAATGAGCTTAAAAGTTACTGCTGTGGTTTAATCTCAGAATTTACAGCCAATAAATTTTGTCAGATGGCGTCAAGGGGAATCTGATCAAAAGCGCAGTAACTGCAGCTCTACTTTAATACTCAACATTTGTTTGGTCCGCTACCATGGCCAATTTTAAACTGGACTTCAATTCTCCCTTATTTTTATGTGTAAGAATATATTTCAGATTTCCAAATGTATAGCTACCTAAGGCTTTAAGACCACTTTCATTCCAAGAGTAATGTCAAGACACACTACACCATCAGCTCTTCTGCAAATACAATGAAAAACCACTTACACGACGCGTCACATTTTAATCGTCGTAGCTGTATTCACTGTAGTAGTCAAACAATAAGCCCAGACTTTAAATCAAGTTTTGTTCATAAGGAAACGACTTAGAGATTAAAGGAAGAATGTTTGAGAGGAAAAACGGTCGCCTCGAATTCTACAGCATCAGACTTATTGTTCTGTACTGCTACTTTAACAGTTGTTTTTGTTTAGAAAACCCAGTTTGTGGAAAAACTAATAGGAGTATGATTTGTCTCCACGAAAAATGTGACGACACACCATAGAAGAACACAACGATTCTTTTTCAATGCATTAGCGACCGCGATCATCTGCTGTGCTGAACTAGAGGCATACAAGTGGGAAAAAATTAGGTTCCAATTATGTAAATCTGCACTCGATATCTGTGATCAGTCATGGAAAACTATTTGTTTGTACTGAAAAACAATGAATCAACTTTTTCCATTGTGTTATTCGTCATTTTGTATCTTTAGAATGTTATGTATTGCATTATTGCATTAGCATTCTATGAATCTCATTAGCAAACAGGGCCAGTTTGTCTACCTAATTAGAGAACCCAAATGTAGCCAGACTGATGACAATGAGCATTTTCGAAAACATCTTGAAATCTTGTAAACTGTTTTGTCAGAAGTGAAACTAAATGAACGAGTAGAACAGGTATTTGCGATTAATCTGTTTTTGCATCAGAATTGATATTAACTTGTGATGAAAGTCATAATAATTACTAAGGAGGTTCATTTTCACGGTGCAACTGTTTATAGGGTTTTAAACAATTTTCCCACTGACTACAAAGTAGCTTGAGGCCGTACCTATACTTTAAATCAACCACTATTGCCGCAGCATTGTACAGTAATATCAACCTACAAGAAATGTATACAAATATTGATAAATCAACGGAAAACCAATTACATCTCACCGTTGCTAGCGTCAATAGCTTCAAATAAATGCCTTGAGGTTAATGAGACATTGGAGAGTACAAACAAGTTCAATTTCAATTAACCATTACGGAATATCTTTGGTCTTAAAGTGACGCTAAAAAGATTCATTCATTCGCTAATTTCCAGTTCTTTTTTTCATGATGATAGTTAATTAGAGGATCAAATATTGGTGGGTGATAGAATTACTTGAACCACCTGCTCTTGGTACATCAAGAATTACTTATTTATACACATAATAAGAGAACTGGTGGGAGCATTTTAGAAAATATGGTGGGCCTAAAGGATGATGAAGAAAGAAAGAAATCTTTTCTTAAGAAGAAACCAATAACGGTTTATGACCCTTAAACTTTTCAACCATGGTAGCGTATACTATGGATAAATCCATTATTGCCTTGTGTGGAGTTTTTCATTTCTGGAATAGATACCTTACATACTGAGGCAGCATAAAGTACAGAGTGAGTGGAGCTGGAAAAGAGATGAATAAAAGAAAACTTGTTGATAACCAAGCGAGCGCACACAACACACATTTATCAAAGAGAGCAGTAAACCACGATCACCAAATGAATACACTCGAAATCGAAACTACAGGGGAATAGTTAAACTTCATACTCCTAGTCTTTATATACACAATTTAACGAACTAGAAGGGGAAGATTTCATATATGTGCTTTGACAGATGAAAAGACGAAGCGAAATGAATTCTCAGTATGTTTTTGTGTCCTGAATATGGTGTGATCACTATAGCGAATTACTATGGTTAAATGGGTCTGTGAGATGATTTACAACTAAGTGATATCAGTTGACCTGTAGTTCTCCCTCAATACCAGTACCACTCATAATATATATCTTATTTTCTTCAATGGACTCACAGCTTGCTTTAGGGTACTCAATCTCACCAGTGTCCCATTTTTGGCACCGAACTGTTTATATTCACAGCTATGATTCCAGCAAGTGTTGCGCCTGGTGTTGATATTTCGTGATTGGATTTCACGGTTTGCGAGAGTAACCGACCAAAGTAGGATGATGTTTGGTAATATTATTATGAATCAGACTATTGTAATTAACACCGTTAACAAACCTGTTGACAAACTTGAGTGCACGAATGACTGAAACTTACTGTGATCTCTTAACAAAACAAAACCTTATGTCATGTTTCTTTCATTTGTCCTTATCTAGAAAGCTGGAATTGTTAACCGCACTGTAAATCTTTCTGTATTTGGACGTGAATATCCCAGTCACGAGTCGTTTCCTTTCCTGCAGATAAATTTACAACTAACGTGTCGATATGGTATGGGTCTGATTACAAATTTGCTTTGAATGAAATGCTTAAACAAACAGCATCAGATTACGTAATCCGTAGATTTATTTATCAAAGTTTGCGGGCTTAAATGTTACACCGAATCAACACTGGCTCTTTTAACCAATAAACGTTCATAACGATCACATAAGTTCAGGCCACTCAGATTGTCAATGTCTCCAGAAGCAGAAACATTTCTGATAAATAAGAGAAGTGGTGTTTCTTCACTAAACATGGTCACTTCTATCGGTTTAATAGTGGCTATCAAATTACATATGTATATCATCAGAGGTGATGATCTCCATCAAATAACTGGTGGTCTACCAGAGTTAGATGGGAATGATGTGAAAAACAGCTAACTTTCCGTTCAGAACATAATGTGAGTTGCTCATTCGTCGTATGAATGTGCTATGGATTCTTTGAAGACCGGACAACACAAAAGACGTTATTACAAAAAGTTATTGGTTAGAGTAGGTACATGCAAAAGTATGACCACCAACGCATAGGCTAGTCCACTACGTAAGATTTAGTGTTGCGTGTCGGTCGTCCTTGACCTCGACAACGATCGATGATCTGTTCGATATTCAGTGACCCAAATGACGAACGAGTTGGCTAGGGTTCAGTGACTATTCATAAGCCCTACAAACAGTTTGTAAATATGAAAGCCACAAGCGATTCAAAGTTAAAATAAAGCAAAATTAAGACAATCGGTTGAAAGCTATGTAACAGCGTTACGACAGGATAAACTATAATTGTAAGCAAAAGCGATGATACTGGTCAAATTTGGGTTGAAAATGAAATGAAAAATAAAAATGTAGTGTCAGAAATAACAGCTTAAAATTCCTATCGTAATTTCTGTCTGCTGATTTTCATTATTGTAGCTTTGTTCTTGGGTTCATTTCAAATAATGTTCCATACTAAGAATGGAATGAATTTTAAAAAAGCAAGGTACGGTCAACAAAAAAGTGGAAGTATAGAAAATACCTTTAAGTTTACATTGCTTTCATATTACGAGTTCAAATGTTGAGAATAATCTGTAGTCACCAAAATGCTTTAAAGCCTTTTCCTAGTTCACTGAAACCAGCCGAAATTTATCAACCTGGATGATAGCCCAGTATGTCAATCATTCACTAACTAGTGGATGACGTATACATCCAACATCGAAAACTTTGGAGTGGAGTCAAAGTCCAAAGGTTGTACCGTTGCTTTCCTGTAAGTGACAGCATTTTAACAACCGAGGAATATATGAGACTCAAAACAACTGCCAACCAACAGCAAAGTCAGCATTGTCAATACGAACGTTTAGACAGTTCTACTGTATGGAACTGAAACTTGGAAAACTATCACAATCATTATGAAAAAGTAAAAGTATTTATAAACGACTGTCAATGTGAGATATTAAATGTGCGTTGTACAGATACTATCAGCAACGGCCTACTGTGGGACAGAACAAACGAACTTTCAGCTGAACAGGAAACTGAAAAAGGTAAATAGGGGTGGATAGGTCATGCAATCTGGAGGTCACTAAATTGTGTAGCGAGGCAAGCTCTAACTTGCGACCCTGATGGGAAACAGAAAAGAAGATCAAAAAACACAATGTGTCTGGATTTGGAAATAGGCATCACGGGAGTGAAAAGCAAGTGGAAATAATCGGAAACGATTTCTCAGGACAGAATTCAATGGAGAGTGGTGATGAGCGGCCTATGCTTCTCCACGAGAGGTTGCAAGCGTAAGAGAGTAAGTAAGCATAATTATATGGGCACAAATGAATGCATCATATTAAGAATTCGTACTCAGCGGTCCATCAAGTACAAAGGAATCATCAGTTGGTAGAACTACCATAACCACCACCGCTGAAGTGGGGACGCAAATTTATTTAGTCCTTTGTGTTCCTTCTGCCTAGGTTTTCCTTGTGTCTGTTCTACTGCGTATTGGATATAGTTTCTGTATAATCTGGAATGAACTAATCCGTAATAAAACCAGCAATGAAAATTTGGACGGCCTCACTTTGGTGCTTGCAAAGTATTCGGTTGTAGGACCCGCTGGTACATGAGTCATAAATCTATCAACTATCTTCAGACGACTTTTCGTAGATTGTGGGAAAGGAGTTCTTGTACGAAAATACTTTCCACTGAAGCAATTTCATCATTATTTCTTTTGCGTACGGCCTGGCAACTGTGCACCGAAAGAATTTATCTACTTCCTTTTCCGGGCATTTGAATTTCGCAGCAGTGATAGAATTGATGTTTGTTTTCAAATTCTTGATAGATGGTCCGAAGCCAGTTATGAAGAGTTCACAACTCAGGATTGAGGATTTATAGTTTCTAGTCAGCAAATTACCACACACAAGAATAGGGAATTTATGAATGGTAATACTGTATCGAGAAATTTAGTAAGTCTAATTATAGCGTCGGGATTTCACGACTCCAACGTTCAACTGGAATGATGGACATTATACTACCAGTGTCAACAACAAAGTCGTGAAAAAAAATATCAAACAGATACAATCGTTTCCGAATATGAAGTAAATTATTTGAAGTTGCAAAAAAGGTTAGTATTTGATCAGTAGAATCACTCTAATTAACAGAAACAGAGTCACAAAGTTTAGTATCACCTGCAGCTAAATGAACAGAAGTTCTACAAACGAACTGAATGTGTCCTATTTTACCATGCTCAAAGTATTTGGCATGACGAAATACACACAAATTACTTAAGGTCTTAACCATTAATCGTGATCGAGGGAAAAAAGTCGTTTGAGTACCACAGTCACAAGTATAGGAACTTCCTAATAATCACTTCTCTTGTAGACGCTGAACTATCACATCCGCTCTAAAATCCGCTGTAAACCGATTGTACGTAAGCACCAGGCACCAAACTTAGCGCCGTGACCTTGAAAGCCTGCAAAAGCTTCTGATTCGCTCGTCCAAATGCCGTACGCATTATAATGTGAAAAATCTAATACAACCTGCTGTTGCAATGACTGACACGTTTTCAGACCACTGACCTTCGTTTAGCTAACCGTTCGTTTCATGTAATGTTTCTAAATGCTATATTTACTTTATATTGTTTTGACCAAAAAAATTATTCATTGAGAAGATGGATTTAAACATAATGCTGTAATTTTAATGATATATTTTGTAAAGAAAAATTCGACAAAATGAAAGTCATACAAACTGTTGTCTTATATCACCGTCTAGTTATTTTTTCGATCTCACTGTTTGTGAGGCACACAAAAGGAAGCATCTTAGTTATCTAAATGCTAATCCCAACCAGATGGAAGAAGTTATTAGTTATTTTATTTTACCTATCTCGTGTAAATTTTGTGTACATAACTTAATACTTCAATTTCTATCCATGGGTTGAAAGACAATTAACTATTAAACACAAAAGTTTTTTAAGAAATCGGTTAAGAAAGCTTATAAACCAAAAAAGGCTAACTGATGCAGTTCTAAATGTGAGCAATGGGAAAAAACGTATTCTTAAAACCTATAATAATAATTAAGAAGTATTGACTATAGTTTATGGTTGTATAGCACATACTACTAAGCCAAAAGCACACAAACTTATTTAAGCAGAATTGCGAATACGAGTGGATGAGAGCGAGAGAGCGAATTATAAGGCATATTAAGAGTCTAAGGAATTTGTCAGATTCAAACACATCTATAGGCAGCGAGATATTAAAGAAACTATTATTTAAGCTAGAAAG